GTCGGCCATAATTTTAAATAAAGTAAACCACTTACAAATTCTGCTATCTTCAAGAAAAAGGGAATCGTTTTGATGTATTTAGTTCCCTTCGGTATCTTCCCCATGTTTGGCTATAATGCTGATATGCAAAGAAAAGTAAGTTGACGTCATGACTGGTTGAAAAATGACATGTCAAAATTATTAATTAAAACCAAATTTAGGTCAGTTATATCACGATTGTGTGCTTAAAATTGGATGTTTTGTTTTTCCAGTTGCTGTGTAAAAGAGCCTGTATTTTAGAAAATACGTTGTAGTATCAGACATTCAATCCATAATTAATTAATTATAAGAAAAAACACATTTGAGTATGTTAATTCAATAAGAAACATAAAAATAAAAATGACAGTGAAGAAGAGGGAAAGAACATAGTTAAATTTCCAGCAATCGTATGAACACTTACCGCAAAAAATTTCGCAAATACTTGTGAATGCTATGCAAAGATAGCGTTGAGTTGAAAAATTAAGTAAGCAAGCTGTTGTTCAGAAGACTCGCACCTGTTTACAATAATTAGTATAAGTCTCGTTATATATAATGTTATGAAAAGTTATGCATTATTGATCAATCACCACCTTGCAAGGAAAAATAACTCACATGTCACTGGAAAAGCACAAAATCAGTCAGTTCAGCGTTCTTGTTGGTCAGAAATGACAATTTACTGGCTGAGATTAGTCAGTTCAGCGTTCTTATTGGTCAGAAATTACAATTTACTGGCTGGCTTGGTTGCCACTATATAATAATTAAATGTGTTATAAGAGAAGCGCATCAACAAAAAATCACTACAGTGGCCGTTCGGCCCTACTGTTTCTTATCTATACTGTGTTTCTGCTGTGCAAATTTTATATACTCTTTTATTCACTTCCATTTTTTAAATAAACACAAAATACCTTCAATGTATTAGTAAAAAATTGCCTCGTTTGTCACTGCTAATTAAATCCAATATTATCTTAACATATCAATCTATACTTTAACAATTGACTGTAAATCATAGAAACACTCTTGTTTTAATAATAAAAGGTAAAGTATGCATCTGAAATAATGACCTTGAACCACTTCCAGTAAACATGTCAAGAAGCAGGTAGCAAAGGATATAGTTATATCTTGAATCAGCACCTGTTTGCATGGACTGCATGCTGTCTGATATTTTTACATTAACATCTATATGAAAATTTTGTTTAGGAGATAGAAACGAGAATTAAAATCAGAAATTTTCTGGAATAATTCACAGGTAGGCATAAAATATTATTTAAGCACGCGGGTCTGGTGATATAAATTTATTAAAAGTGTGATTACACAATTTATATCACAAGTAAAGGAATAATTAATTACGAGTTTCAATTAAACTTGCTCTTGCAATAATTTATTCGTAAATCCACCTGTTATTCTAAAGAGTAGCGTATTTTTAAATGAAGCTAAAAAATGCAAGAAATGTATTGTTTCTATAACATATGCAGAAAAAAAGGACTTTAGTGTTAGGTGTTGGACTGTCTATAAACAAGTCGTTTATAATGATGTCGCAGAGAGACAATTAAGATGGCGCTTTGTTAGTCCATCATTCCTATAAAGCTTATCAACTTACAATAAATAAATCCCCAAGTACTTTCAGACGATAAGCAAGGATCCCAAACACAAAGTACACAATATCCAACGCTATTCTGCGTTAGCATTGTATGAGCTCGATAAGCCATCAGTCCAGATCCATCTAACGAATCACCATAAGACAAGCTTTCGAATGATTTATCTCTTGTTAACCTTTGACACGCCTTATTCCTTCAAGAAATCCACTTGTGAATCAAACATGATTCCAGATCAGTTAAAACTCAATTGAACATGTAACCTACAAGATTTATACTGGCTTTTTGCCCCTTTATCTATCTTATTATTGTTTCTAGAAAGACAACCTGGCAATAAGTTAAAACATTTGATGTATTCTTCTGACATAGCCAGTCATGTGTCTAATACAATATCTCTCGACCTTGAGACTAAACCAAAGGTAATAATAGAAACCTTTCTAGCAGATAATTTGAAAAAATAAATGAGAAAACACACTTCAAATTTCATAAATCTTAGGACACTTTTACACGGACTTTTTACCGCACCTGACACGGGAGTTTTCTCGGCCGTAGCCGTCGAAAACTTCGGTCGGAGTCGGTTCTTTCTCGGCCGAAGCCGGAAATGAAAGAACCACTAACCACCACTAACGGTGACCACTAATGGCACTCATAACAATCCTCCATTAAGCCATGGTACGCACTACAAATACGTGTTTCTGGCAAGTCACTTTCAGGGGCGAAACTAGAATGTTAAGTGGGGGAACGTGAATATTCATATATTCAACTCTGCTTGACTGATTCGGTTTGTCTGTGATTTGAGTAGCTGAATGTAGGAATATTCCTCCCACCCCTCCACACAACGTTTTAGTTTCGCCTTGGTCTCCTTAGCATATCTTTTTTCATTTAAGTTCACTTGCTTTTACAGCATTTGATAAAAAGGAAGATTATTAACGCGCTACACAATTCAAATACGTAAAGACAAAGTGCATTAGCGTTTGTGTAACATCAATTTGGCAAATCAATAATTTCAATAAGATCACTTCATTATTCATTCTTTAAAGCGAAAGTCAACAGCGTGAGTCAAATGTCAAAAGCATTTAGTGAGCATTTATTAAAGTTTTGGGAAGTACAATAGCATAATAACAAATAACATTAAAACTCTATAAAATGTCAATAACAATACATGTTTGCAATGGCATAATTATAACAGTCAATATAGCAGAACTATTTATCCGTAGGGTGTCTGCCATTTGAAGATAGACTTGAGAAAGTTTTTCAAATTTAGGAACTAAAATTTGTCCGTCTTCACTGTGTTTGAGTCATTTTCACTTGTTTACGAGTGAAGCGGATCAAATCTGGTTTAAATACGCGCACAATAGAGACGACCAATTTCACACTTTCACATTCACACACTTAAAAAAATAAAAAGAAAGAATCTTGAGGGTTAATCATACAATTGAAAACATATTGTGTTATTGACATTTTATAGAGTTTTAATGTTATTTGTTATCATGCTATTGTACTTTCCAAAACTTTTATTAATGAACGCTAAATTTTTTTAACAATCCCTTCGCGGTATTGACTTTTACTATATGGAATGCGTAATGAAGTAATCTTATTAAAATTGATCATTTGCCATATTGATTTTACAAAAATGTTGTTGAACTTTTTCTATACGTCTCTGAATTGCGGTACGCGTTAATGATAGTCGTTCTTATTTAAATGACATGCAAATGTTTAAACTGACGTATTTAAAATTTATCTCTTTAGTGAAATTGATATCGATAGCGGAGAGTCAGTCTTCTGTTGTAGCTACAGACAGAAATTTATACCTTCGAACTTCCTTGTAATGTAAGCGATGAATTTTTATTTTTATAGATACTACAGCCGTACATTTTCAGCAATAATTATGACAAGAAGAGAAGATGTTTTTAGCAAATAGAGACCAAACTTCAACATTACCGTTCTAATAATTTGTACTACATTGTATTTGTTCTATCATCTTCCTAAACTTACTTGGTGTGTATTGCTTCTTTTTGAAGTTATTCTCATTTCAATCTAGATTTGTGTGCCCAACCAACGAAAAAGAGGAAATGAGTCAGTTACTAAAACAGAAGAAAATAACCGACAAGATTCGCAAGGCTCTGAAAGAGCTCCGAAGCAGGTGATGTGTGTTTTTATTGATGTTTTATGCGATATACATGAATATCAATGTTGACACTCAGGTAACATTTTTTTCTTACAAATAGCTTTCATTTTTTTGTCATTGAAACGCTATAAAACATTAAAACTAACCCAAACCATGTACGCTACTGTTGAAAGCAACAGGATTATATTTTGCTCAGTATGTCTCACAAAACTTAGGAAATGTATTCACAACACATGCGCTCACTGCTTACTGTAGTAGAAATGTAAACGGGGAATGTTTACTGTAGTAAAAATTTTACCTTATTTGGATGTACCATAGCCATGTATTTGCATATTGCGCGACGTTGGAATGAAAAGAACAATTAACCATTACAAAAATTAACACATTAAAATTTACATCGTTTGAACGTAATATATGATTCAAATTATTGGATTTTGTTTCACGAATATTCCGCCAGTCCGTCAAGTGTAATGATATTTTTCGTTTCTATGCAAAAGAAAAGTGCACATTAAACTGAGGTGGCTAGAAGCCCTAAGAGATCCATTTCGAGAAAGAAACAAATTTTGAGATAACAGTTGGAACAAATTGGCAGTGAAACACAAAATTTTACTGAATTTGATCAAATTCCTCTTAAATTTCCATCCACAAAATGTAACACTAACCAAGAATAGTTTCAAAGTAAATGGTTTGAAACTATTAAGATGATCGTTAAAGTTGAAGGACTGTTTTGATGTTGTTGACTGACGTTAACGGCTAACCTGACGTTTACTCATTTGACTCTGAAGATGACTACCGCTAAGGTTGTCGAAACGTCAGTCAACAACATCAAAAACAGTCCTTCTCAGGACTTTATTAACCTGGACGATCATCATTTACAAACATATAAGAATAGTTTCACTACTACTTATAAAGATAAGCCATGATAAAGTGAAATTGAAAACTAAAGGTGGAAGCACACTATCTTTAGTTTCACCGTTTGATACACTCATACCGAAAATGAACTGTACGAAAGCAGATCTCACAGCATAGTTTTAATTGAAGGTAGCTCGGTGCGTATTTCTGAAACAATTTACGAGAAAATTCATCAAAGTTCGCTTGTTCGTGAATTTGTTTGATGTCAGCTTGCATTAAACTTCTTAATGCCAGTTTTTGTTTGATGGACTTTGCAAAGACCATAAAGTATGCAGCTTTTTGTGCCTTATTTACGATAGAATCTTAGTGTCGAGGCGCCAACGTTCAAAGCTCAAACTACACAAAAATAATGTTCACGTTTTATTTGAGTAAAAAAAGCATGCTAAAACTACTGTTACATAAAAGTAAAACAAATGAAGTTGAAAATGACACCTTATATATAATCAGTGTGTATCTATGATAATAAACGAAGCTTTAATTGTCAAAGAAAATATGGCAAAAATTCAATCCGCTGTCAAAAAGAACCGTTAAAACATTCAAGTAAACCGCTGGTGAAAAGTACCGTTTGATCACCCTATGTGGAAGTCGTTGCATGTGCAGAGGCCTTAGTCGAAGATGTGTGACTTTGACCTCTAAGTATCCGGAAGTTGAAGAAAGCATCAACTGCAAAAAGAATGCTTGCAATGAAACAGCAAACCTAGAAAATAGAGACAACGTTAATGAGCAACTGACAAAATAATGAAGATTTGTTAGGCACGTGACGAATAATCACGTGACAGACTAACCGTAGCATCAATGAGATGCCCGAATCTTGCGTCATATTTGGCAAATTTCAGCCAATAACAGATATTCTTATCTTCATACTGGCGAACAGTATCAGCTATGAAACAACCAGCTATGAACAGCATCAGAGCCCATATCACCAAGTTGATAAATACCTAAAATTACACATTATCGAGTATTTTGTAATATGGAAATTATAATTTGAAAAATAGAAGATGTTTGCTGTGTTTTCCAAGGCTTATGCAAACTCCGGAGACCTTTGGGAGAACTCGTGAGCAGATCAATGCAAGCTTAAGACCGACAGTCGACGATTGCACCTGCTAGAAAGCTCTCACAACTAACAAGTCTCTCCATTTTCCGCAAACTAAAGACTTTCTGCAGTGAAAAGCTCCGTCGCTTATACCGCCAGCTGTCTTAAGGCTGAATTCCTTTCAGTGCAAATTGTCGCGCAATCGCTTTCTTTTGAATTGTGTGCGGCAGTGTGAAACTCTTACGTCGAGTGCTTACAATTGAAAAATAAGTGATCGGAAAAAGTCGATCGCGCGCGACAATTTGCACTGAATGGAAATCAGCCATTAAGTGCAATGTGGAAAAAAGCGAAATCCGTCCAATTTGTTTACTTACCGTCAAAGGCAAGTTAATGATGATAATTTTTTCATGTAGTCCACTAACAAAGAGAACGGCCATTATAACGACAACAATCCATGACACGACAACGGCAAACATTCCAAAATCTAATCGACTTCTTTCTGAAGTAATGTCTATTTTGTTCAAAAATCTTCACAGTGTGCCAATCGCAACCAACAGTATAACCTAAAGATAAATGTGGCGCTGTAAAATGTATGCATCTAATGTATAACATACAAAATATAATTTGTGCATACTCTCAGGAATATTGTATAGTTGAAAATTGTTGCTCATTAAAGAGTCTTCCACTATTGAAATAAAATAATGAACTTACAAATTCTGCTATCTTCAAGAAAAAAGGGACCGTCTGGATGTATTTAAAGCCTTTCGGTATCGTTCCCATGTTATGCTATAATGCTGGTATGAAAATTGAAAATTAAATTAAATTATCGTAAATATGTGACACGTCAATATTATTTACTTGTCAAATTAAATAATTTAGTTCAGCAATATTCATGCTTTTGTATTTCAATGTTATTTCACATTATATGGCAGCGAAGCAAAAAGCATCATGGCGTACAATATTTTACGCTTTCGTTCATTTCAGATATAATTTCATCCACAAAAAGTAACACTTACCAAGAAAAATACAGCTACTTTAAAGATGAGCAAGTGTCGCGAAGATTTGACAACTTAGAGTTAAAAGATGTAATTTGTCCTTTAAATTGACTTATGCTGCGGATGAACTGCTCAAAAACGTATCTTATTGCATAATTTTAAGGAAGCTTATGCATTAGTGATATCATAAATATCAAGAAAGAGGAACCAGCCCAGATTGTAAAATAGTCAAATTTTTTTGACTCTGAAAATGAAAAGTTTTCGAGTCTGAAGATGACTACCGCTAAGGTTGTCGAAACTTCAGTCAACAACAACAAAAACAGTCTTTCTCAGGACTATACAAATCTGGATGATCTACATCTACAAACAGTTGTAACGATACTCCCCGGGTTCAAACCATTTACTTTAACAAATGGCAAATTATTCATATAAAAATAAAATCTTTATTTTAAAAGCATCTTTGCTGAATTTCTTTGAATTAAATCTGGCTATCTATATCCCTCATCTCTGACTTATTTGACATTAAGAATAGCAATTTTCTGACAAAGACTTGTTTGTTTTTTATATTTTGTCGGCAAAGTTTTAAGTTTCACTTTCGGTATGATTTTATGACAAGGTAGATAATTTATTACCTATAATCAAATAGCAAAATATGAGCAAAAACTTTGAACGTTAAATGTTATCTTATTGCACGGGAAAATCACACAAATGGATGTAAAGATCACTAAAAACCATAAAATGTTCTCAAATCAAGTAGGTCTGGTGATGTTAGTGACAATTTAACCTTTTACTCTATACCACAATCGGAAGTAAAATAATAATCATGCGTAGTTAGAATTATATAACTCATAAGTGTTTCAGAATTCTTGAATTGCAACCAACCTCCAGGAAATGACCAAGCCATGACATAATACGTAAACCAGCTTTTATCTCAGCATAGTAGCCAGCTCAAAATTATGGGGCAATAGTTCTGCCGCATTACCACAGAATAAAAATCATAAAATCACTTAAGTGTTGTGTTATGGCCGTCATTATTCCAGCAAGATACTTTTTCACTTGTTTCCAACCACTGCAATTACATTACGTCATTTCTTCACAATTAAATCGAAAATATTTCAATATAAGAAATGACGTCGTGTAATTTCTGTGGCTGGGAACAAGTGAAAAGCCTTAAATACCTTGCTGGAATAATGGCTGCCGATATGCGCGGCACAACATGCGCGAGATCAAAAACATCAAAGGCTCCGACACGAGTGACCTTTAGTATATTTCATATTCTGTGGTATTACGTTGATCAACGTTGCCTCGACGTCAGTTGAACATCTAGAGAATTTTTGTATGAATTTTTACTGAAAAAAACGATGTCTTCGTGGGCAGAGACGTAACTAGAACGTTAATTTTGGGGGTGTACATTCATATATTTAGTTGTGCCCTACTGATTTATTTTGAATTTCAAATCACTTTCAAAAAAAATCACTATGGTGACTCAAAAAATTCCTGAGAATGTTTGTTCTAAGAAAATATAAATTCAAATTTGCTACAATGCACAACAAATATGTTTGAATTTCTATCCATCCGCAGCATGTAAAACGTACCAAGAATAGTTTCATTCACATCTACCTTCTAACGGTGAGCAAAGATCTTGAGGAATGTAAATACACAAACTGCAATATGAAGGACTCGCAACGCGACTAAATCGTACGGTGAGAATCGTAGTAGACAATTATAGCTTAAACACGTTGAAATCACGTTGTCTCGACGTCAGTCGAACGTTTAGAGAATTTTTGTTTAAAAGCTGAGGAAATGTGTTTTGTGGACTGTTTTATGTCTTTTAGTGCTATCACGTTTAAACTTCTTTGTCTAAACATCCACTTAAGATGTTGATCTTGTTTTAAAGTGTGAAGGCAAAATATATTATAAACAATCGACGACTGCAATAAATGTGGTCTTCGCATGCGCACTTATTTATTTTTGCTAGATTTCTCTTCATGATAGAAGGCTACACAAGCCGAACAAATCGACGAATGTTCATATGAATGAGTGACTTAAAAATTCTTATTTATTTTAGCTAAAGCAATAGTTTATGTATCAGAGTAGCATGAACGATGTTTCAATCGATGTCATTTTCAATAAAATATTTGCTATGAAGAATTGCCATGCGTTCATCAACCTGAGTTAACTTTAAAATCAGACAGAGCAACGCAAGTTTTTGAACCCTAAGAAAATTTTCCCATCCCGGGCAAGCCTCTTGCTTGAAGCATTAGTTCTGTAAAAATTTAAACGTTCAAAACAATTCGAGATGAAAGATATGTACAACAGATGATTATAGTAATGAACATCATCTTGGTAAATGACTATCGTTGTAGAAATTAGCGTGCATGCATATGACATTTATAGCTCCAAATGATTATATATGTACTTACTTTAAATACACTGATGGCCAAATATCTTGATAACTTTTGCAGCAGGTTTTCACCTTAAACTGACAGTGGAAATTGAGCTCCGAATTTAGAGCCTTGCACGCTTCTAATCTGTACATAAATCATAAAATCAATGAAGGGATACGATGGGTTGATGTTATAACAAGTATCGATATTTCCAGATATTTCTGATGCCAAGAAAGAATATTTAACACGTATGAGCCAGCAGTATTTTGTCAGTGGTAACGCGCAAACTGTCAAAGACATTTCCTAAAGGTGCGGTAAATTTCAAAATAAATGAAATATTTTCTACTTGATTTTCTGTGAGATGAGAAAGATCCATGAGCATTACTTTATATGGAAAGGTGAAATAGGGCTAATTTTCTGCAAAGTGTCAAATGACAATTTTAAAGCTCAGTGCAATGTTTGAAAAGTTTATAAAGTAAAAGTTTAAGTCTTTCACATTCAAAAGGTATTTTGCTTATTATAGTAAATAAATCTTGTAGGAGTTGAATCTATTTCCCCTTTAATTTTCTTTTAAAGTGCACATACAGCCTTTCCAAATTCGTTGAAATTTTAAAGTTTAGACTGTGGAAAATATGATTTCGAAAAAAATTTCGTAAAAAAAGAAAAAAACAAAGTTTTTTTTGCGGTTTGAATTAGCTTGCTTTTGAGAAATTTCCGCGCCGCTGAGGGGACTTAAAACGAGAGGTTTGTGACGTCATTTAAGGAACGTATGAATGCGCTGCATACAAAACAACACAGTGTGAAATAACAATTCTTTATATATTGCTTTGAAATTAATATAAAAATTCTACGAAACATGTCGACATCTGATTCTGAGTCGAGTACAGCAACAACAGTGGAAAATTTTGAATTGAACAGTCGGGAATTCGATTTAGAAGACGAAGATCAATCGTCATCAAATGCGCTCCGAAACACCGATGGCGATTTTGTGTATGGCCAAGCTGAAGCGTATGAAAACGAACCACTTGCAGATGAAGAGTGGTTAGAAAACTATATTAGTGAGACAGAAGAAGAAAGACGTCAAACAGAAGAGCTCGAACGCAGAATGCAACATTTTGCATTCTGCGTTCGAGCTCTTCTGTTTGGCGTGTTCAGTTCCATTGAATCTTGGTGAGAAAAGTTGGAAAATTTGTTTATTTATTGTTGCCGAAGCTTTTGACAGATAACTTTCGTAGGTGCAATTGTGGTAACTGCCGTTTTCCTCTCTTGGTTAATCCAAAAGAATGTAGATGTTACCACGAAATTGCCAATTGCAAGATTGAAATGCAAGATCATATGGTGGTATCCAAATTAGGAAGGCAGCCAAAATGCATCACAGAGCATCCAGGATTTGATGCCATTTGCTTCAATCGATGGGCATTAAATTTAGCTGCCAATCTTTACCAAAGACGAGATGGAGTTAGATATCATAAAGGATTCTTGGAGCAAAGGTTTGTTAGAATTAATAATTAAATGTTTTTGTCTGGGTTATCTATGAATGCACACTTGCAAAATTTGTATTTTATGGACTCCTACCTGTTTTAATGGACCTTGTGTATTATGCCTTTTCAGGTTTTTTCGAGTTGTTGCATATAGGCAATTTACAAGAATGGTACATGGCATTCTTCGAGACAAAAGAATTCCACTTCCAGCTTGTGCTTACCATGTTATTTGAAAAACTTTTAATTTAAAAAAAAATGAACACTTTACAGGGTATGAAGAGGACAATTTGTAAAATAACATAACATTATATATCATTTTAGGTGCTGTTTGCATGAGCCCAGCTAGTAGGGATTCAGTGAAGTGTGGAATCATATTAGCCACTCTTGATGTATTGCATCTTCGATTCACACTTACTCTTGTTATACAAAACACACAAAATTACAATTCCTTTCTCTTTATTCTTTCCATGCTGTCAATTCACACTTCACTGAATCCCAACTAACTGGGCTCATACCACCAGGTCCTAAAAAAGTGGCTACTTTTGGTTTTTTGGACAGTTCATTATATTTTAATGGCCTTTCATCCAATTCTTGCACACAGTGCATCAAGGTGCTGCTCTCTCATTTCTCTGATTCGTGATTATTTCTTGGACAGGTGATACTGCAGCTATATCAAACAATAAAGTGAGTCAGTTGCAAAAATAAGATTCAAATTAACTCAAAGCAAGTAATGCCTTTTTGTAAAACCTGGCTTAGTTGCGGGGGAAATGTACAGCTGGCTTGCTTTGTCTTCTTGCTTTTTTTTGAGATAGCTTCATTTTTTGATTGCTTGTCCAACATGGAATTCATTGGCAATGGAGTCATTCGTAAAAGATCACCTTTGGCTTTTCTCAATGTTTCCTCATCAATGAGTGCAGAGCACAACACTTGATATATATCTTCAACATACCCTGGAGGAGCAATGTTGATGCTACTAGTTGATGATTCTTCATTGCTGCTGTTGTTCTCATACTCATCTATGAAATAAGATACTTCAGTAATGCGCAGCTACACAAGGTTGATTAAGTCCATATTTCTTAGTAATTAACTTCAATAATTTTCCAGGGTTGCATGCAAGCTTAGTTGGTAGTATTGTAGAAATTGAGGTTATTAAACATGGCTGATCCTATTACGTTGGCAAATCTTCTCTTGACCTCGAATCATACATGAAATAAAATTAACAGGCGAATAATCTTAAAAAACACTTACCCACTGCAAGCATATCCATATTAGAACTGCTTGCATAAATTCTGCTACACTGAAGCTTATGCTTTGCCCCAAACCATAAGTTCCTGTAACGACGTTTCTCTTTTTCAAGTTTTAAACAATTTTGACATTGTAATTTACATTGCACAGCTACTTCCTAAATTAGAAACAACAGCAATACATATACAAAACAATAATTTACGTTAGCCTTTACAGCAGTGGCGTTCTTTAATACTGGCTCATCACAAGTTGTTTCTTTTCTTTGCTCTTGAGGTTCGCTACTTGTACTGAGAATATTTTCTGATTCAACCACTCTTTTATAATCAGACATCCACTTTCTTTTCATCTAAAATGGCATGTATTTATGAAATATACTCTCACACAGATTCCAGGTAAAATGTTGATATGCATATGTATAATTTTTAACGTACTCACCATTTTGCGATCTCTTGTTGTAAGTTCATTGTCATCTTTTCGAGAATAAATGCTCGAGTAAGCAACGATTCCGAATTCATCTCGAATGAGTCGAGGTGCAAAATTACTTTCTGATTCAGAAAGCGAGCCGAATTGCCGAGAAAACGAATCTTTTGTGAAGTGTTCCGAGCAAACTGCGGAATTCTTTGTGGGGACCCACTTATTGCAAGTAGCTTTCACAAAGTTGACCCATCGCTTTCTCCTACGCTTAGCTTCGCTTCTTTCGTCGTTAAAAAATGGTATGCGATGAAGTGAAATGCCTTTCTCCGAACTGGCTACGTTAGAACAACCAAAAACTACACATCGATCTGGCATTTTTGTGTTTGTTTACATGCATAAACAGTGTAATTTGTTTTGGTAGTCAGTCTGTGTTCCTTAAATGACATCAGAAGTAAGTCCCATGCCACGGATTAGAGCTCTCGACATTTTTTTACAAAACGTTGAAATTCAGGTTTTATTTGCATCTTTGCCGAAATATAACTCAAAAACGAAAAAAGTTATTCAAATTCTGTAAACGGCATTTGTATTATTCATCCAAAATCTATTTGAGAATAAAAAACTGAAAGTAGTTGTATGTGCACTTTAAGAGTTTCTCTCAATTTTCTCTTGGGTTTCCTTGGTTTTTCTTGGTATTTCAGGCCATTCACCATGGCAACTGCTCTTTTTACGTTCATGTTTTGTTGTCTTTAATAAAAGATCTCCTAAAACTGCAACAAACTTTCTGCTCAACATCAACCTAGACATGATGGCTTGAAAAGACAAGAAACTGAAGGGCTGCATTTATACACAACGAACGCTGAAAGACTCCAGTAAAAAAGATTTTACATCCTACATTTAAAATGGTCGTTTCATTGTCAGTCTCTGTTGTTGAGGATGTTAATTGTTGTTGAAAGTCCTCGACTCTAAGTATAAGCTTTAATTTTAAAAAACAATAGTGCGGAGAAGCAAAAATTATCAAAAAAGACATTGCAATAATCTTATGCTTCACAAACAAATCCATGAATTGTAGACTTCTCGAAAAATAGAAATAATGCATGTTTGTAGCTATCGCTAAGGTTGTCGAAATGCCCGTTAACATCAACACCGACAGTCCTTTAAAGGCTCCACTAACTTGGGTAATCTACACCTAAAAAACATGTAACGATGCAGTGAACTTCTTGAGCTACAGAAATGATGAAAATATACATCTCATTTTTCAACTGAAACTTTCCAGCTTAAATCTTTTTGTGTTAGAGAAATCCTAGCTAGCGCACAACGTATTCGTAATATTGAAGAACAAAAGCTCTTTAATTAAATGAATTTGGGAATGATAATATCTTCATGTTTATATAACAAGCTCGAATTTCACGTATTCAAAAGACAAACTGGCCACAAAATCAAATGAAAGAGAAGATTATGAAAATGCTAAATGACACCGTATAGTCAGTGCATATCTATGACAACATTAAAAAACTTTATTTACATGAAATTATGACAAATAGTATAACTGCATACACAAAGTGGAATTAAATAAATGAATGTTGTTTGTGTCCCACCCGTGATAAATCTTTCAGGTGTCGGACCAGCAACAAATGTGGCTGGGGACGTATTTGCTGCAAATCTTGCTGGTGTTGTATTCGTTGCAAATGTTGCGGGTGTCGTACCCACAAAAAATTGTGCTGGTGTCGTGTTGGCAGCAAATGTTGCTGGTGCTGTAGCCATAACAATAGTTACTGGTGTTGCAACTGTAGATGTTGTGGAATTTAATAATTGATAGTTGAACAGAACATTCAATGCCAAGGTTATGGTTGCAATAAAACAGCAAGCCTAGAAATATATAGATAAGTAGCTATATATACTAGTGTATAATTAAAAAGCAAAAAGACTTGATCAGGGTTGTACTTGATATAAGGGTGTAAGAATGTAACCATTTGACCATGTGACCGACTAACCGTAGAAGAAATAAGATAAATACATGTTGGACGACGTTTTGCCGCTTCATTCTCCCGATCACAAAATGAATTCTCGAATATATTTTCTTTCCGTTAAATAATCTGTGAAAAGTGTTAGACATGAGACAACCGGTGATAAGCAACATCACAGTCCATATCATCGTGTTGATGAACACCTAAAGTTGGAAATTTATAAAAGATTTAAAATTTTTTAATTTTATTAGGGGATCTTTAGAGTAGCATAGGATATGTTGTCCTTCATGAACTAAAGTTGTAGAGCAATGAAGCTTTACATCGTTCTAATGCTAACAAATATTGCAAGAAAAAAAGCAGAAATATGATTCATTTGGGGTATTGTTTTTAATGCTATATTTAAAACAAATACTCTTTTAACAAATAAAAAATGGCCGATTTTGTTTACCTATAACTAATGGCCAGTAATGATGGTGAATTGCTCATGCAATCCAATAAAAATGAACACAACCATCACCATGGCAACAATCAAAAAGGTAACCATGACAAACATTCCAAAATCTAAGCTTCCTTTCCCTACCCAAGAATTGAGGGCACAACCTGCATCATCGAAAACAGCCTCATTAAAACGATCGCACACAATAGCATAACCTACAGAGGAACGAAATGTTGCATCTATATTATATCCATAAAAAATGTGATATACATAGCATATTAACTGCAATACATTTATGAGTCAGTCATAAGTTTAGATAAAATGATTTACAGACAAGAATAATTTATCGAAACATTTACTTGTTTTTAGAAACGAAAAGCCTTTCGGTATTGTCCCCATATTTTATTTTGATGCTTGTATATAAAAAAGAAGAGTAAATTATCGTAAATTGACACAAAAAATAAAGAGCAAAAATCACTCATCGAAGGCAATTTGCGTTAAATTTATTCGTACTCTGAGGCAAAAGAGCTGAATGTGTTTGGAAGAAGGTTGAAGCTTCGTCAAATTTTTTTAATTTCATGATTTATCAGTCCCAGAAAGAAACCACTTTTGATTATGAGTCGAAGAAATTTAAAGATCTAAATGAGTGGCAACAAAGAAAGAAGTAGCATAGTTAAATTTCCAGCCAGCATTTAAAGCTCACCAAGAATAGTTTCACAGTTACTTTCAAATAGTGTGGAGTTGAAAATTGAAACGCGTCAACTGTAGTTCAAGAGACTCGCGCTATACAACTAAATTGTTCGATCTGAGTTTTACTCAATAGTTCACAACGGGAAGCTAAGCATTCTTTACGAGCAACTTGTAAGCTAAGGAACCCACCTGTATCATGAGTTAGGAAAGCACAGAAACAATTTGTAACAAAGGAAGAAGATTGCGCATGCGCAGTTTAATTTTCGTTGATAAGCTGGCTGCAATGGAGTTATACAAATACTTCGTTTTTCCATTCTTCTATCTTTTTCTCTACTTTACTTTAAAGAATCGCATTAACACAACAAGAGGCAGCAGGAATTTTTTTTTTCAATAAAAAAAACAAACCTTAGCAAAAAGTTGCTGAGTGAATTGGTCCTGCATGTTTAATGAGATTAGTAATTGCAGTTAATCATTTCATCATTGATATTGGTCAAAAAATGCAACAGACTGTCTGCCATTTTGATGATGACAAGTGTAATAAGATATACGTTGCACAATTTTCTATAAGCTATATCTCCAACATATGGAGTCTTCTTTATGAAGTGAAAACGTTCCATCCTCAGGCTTTTTTGCCAATCTTTCTTTTCATACGTCTTTCATTATCCATATGATTATTAACACTATTAAATTCCGTATACATTCATACATAGAGATGATAATATCTAAAAACGCTAACATGAGTAACCTCGTCAACTTAAGGGGCACATGAAGTAGCTATTTACAGCAACTATAAAATTGCACAATAAAGTTATTTACAAATCGCTACATATAAAAGAATTAATACTTAGAATATGACATAGTTTATAAGGTTTTGAGACTATTACGTGATCACAGTTGATTTCAATAGAAATTAATAAAGTAGAACATGTATTATAAAAATATTACACCTCTGAACCAATTATCAATCTTCGGCCACCCTTGTTACTTTTTACCAAATAATACTGTACATTTTCAGTTTATCTATGATAATAGGGACCTTAGTTAAATACTCAGTTAAAACTCAGTTTGTTTGCTTCATTTATTTAACAGAAGTACAGTTTTAAAAAAAATTGGTGAGAAAAATAACTACAGTTTCAACTGATTATTTAATTAATGTCACTGGCGTCGTCGTACAAGTTCTGCTTTTGAATAAATGATAATTTAAGTTTGCATCGACTGCAAAAATAATGGTTGCAATGAAACAGCAAACCTAAGAATTAGAAATAAGTAAGCTAAATATTTGAAACACCCAAAAACTTTTCTTTGGCAGACTAATACTTCATGTAAGTGTGTGGCAAAATGTGATTGAGTAGTCATTTAACTCATTGATTTGTATGTTTACATGGATCGCGCATCACTAGTTAAATTTGAAGCTGGAAGGCGGCCATACTGAACAGTCCCACTTCACGATGTTGACATACAAATTATATTAATTTCTGCCGTGAAGAAGTGCAAGAAGCGTCTCTTACGGTGCATTGATAAAACTGCTACGTATCAGCTTTAACAAGATTAAGTGTAGGAAGTTGATGTACTCAGTGCCTTTCGGTATCGTCCCCATGTTTGGCTATAATGCTGGTATAAAAATTGAAAAGTAAATTAAATTAACGTAAAAGCGTTAAAAAATGTGACTCGTCAATATTATTTACTTGTCAAATTAATGAGTTGTCAAATTAATGAGTTCTAATTTGGTTCAGAAATGTTCATGCTTGTGTATTTCAATCTTATTCTAGTTGCAACGCAAAGAAAAATACTGTAGAGATCAATTCACAGCAGGATTTATAAAACCCAGAACGAAACTATTGTCTTTAGCGGTTGTAAAAAATGTAAACATATAAATGCCAGCGAACCACGACATACAATATTTTACGCTTTTATCATTCTTAAAAAATTCAGTTAAATTTCCATCCACAACAAGTCACACTTACCAAGAATTGTTCAAACTACTTTAAAGATGAGAAAGAATCGCGTAACCATGGAATGTGTAGGGTTAAAAGCTGTAGTTGACTTTGAAATTGCTCACACTGCGAACGAAAGGCTAAAAAGCAGATATCACAGCATATATTTAAAGAAAGCTTATGCATTATTGATAAACCACTCCATGCCATAAAGAACCAAACTCTCATTTGAATTTTTGTTTAAGTGACGCAGAATGGTACGAATACTCCATTTTTTCCCTTTTAAATTCTCTCTCGTTTTCGTTGCTCAATTTTTCAAGAATGACAGCCTCGCAGGCGGGTCTGTAAGAATTTTTACTTCTGTACAATGCAAATGTAAATTTTTTTCAACGAACTTAGTATTCATTTCTTTAGAAATGTAATTTCCTGTTCTTTCATTGAATGAACGCCATAATGTTGGCATATGTGAAACAAGTAACTAAAAGCCAATACCGTCAGAAAATGGGCTTAATTCTTAACATCCATCTATTTAGCTATCTGCGTTGATCAGTCAATGGATACCTTTGCAAAAATACGTCTGTGTTACTCAGCTAACTTTTTCCATTTTTTTTTGTGTTGATCTATCTCGTTGCTCGTCAACCCCACATAATATGGGGCAAGTCGCTGCCGAAGAAAAGCGAGGGTTTAAAAATGAGTTTGCATTTTCGTGTCATCACGCGAATTGCACAAAACACGTCATTTCACGCCTGAGTGTTACTAATGACACATGAAATGACACATGATTGTCACATGAAATGACACATGATTGTCATAGGCCTGTTTCAAATGTCGAATTTTGCATGTGTCGAATATAATTATTACACGACGTCTTAGCTTTATCTCGTTCTGGACTTTGTTGTCAGTAAAAAGCAAGAGCCAAATTGTATTCGACAAATGCAAAATTCAAAGATTGAAACGACTTCGCACTTTCGTCGCATAATGCGACCAAACCGGTCGAATTTAAAGTTAAGGTCGACCTCAAATAATGCAGTCGAATTTGATTGTTTCATACGTCAAATTTTCATGCACTTAATTCAAACTATTTTATTCGACACAAGCAAATACGACGTTTGAAACAGGCTTTAATTTATTACACCATTTTAGATTGCACTGTGGTGAATTTCGTTATGGCAGTTGGCACTAATTGAGTTAAACGCAAATCAAACCAAACCCAAACTTTGCTTTTTAAATCAAATATTGATGAACAAAATTCCTTTATATTAAAAATTTGTGAATGATAAATTCTTAGAAATGTGACCAGAGATATACCGGAGGAGAGAGGGAAGCGAATTCTTAATATAAATATCAAAGCCCAGCAAAGTGCTTTTAAAAGAGCCATTTAAATTCTTATTGTACACACCTCTAACTTCAATCGAACTATTCGTTTATATAACATGTATAATTATTTGAAAAATAAAACAAAAGCTTGCTGAAACTAAAGTTACGTGGAAAAGAAAACTATAAAGTGCTAAATGATACCATGCATTCAGTATATATCAATGATAAAATAAACCAATCTTTATGTCAAAAAAGACATAGCCAAAGCTCAAAAGTAACTAAAACCGCTATCAAGGAATACCGTTTCAAAAGTTCAGCAAAACCGCTTATAGAAACTGCAGTTTCAATTATTTCTATACAGCAGTCGATGCAAATGGAAAGGTTTGACCCCGAGATGCTTCACCTCTAAACAACTCGAAGTTGAAGAAAGCATCAACTGTAAATATAAGAGTGGCGATAAAACAGCAGACCTATAGAAAACAGAAACAACGTCTAAAATATCTACGTCGATTAAACTATGGTAGGCAAGTGATTGACTAACCGTAGCACCAATAACATGACGGCATGTTGCATCAGCATTTTTTGCCTTCAAGTAACTACAGAATGTATGATCATATCCTTTTTTGTCGTTATCATACTTGCGAGCAGCATCAGCTAAGACACAACCGGCTATAAACAGCATCACAGCACCTATCACCAAATTGATGAACACCTAAAATCGTGCCATTGCAAGAGTTTTGGATTTCACAAAACCAGGATAGGGTGAATACGACATGATACGACGCTATATTTACAAACTAAAGATTAATGCAGTCAAGCGTTGCATCATTTACAACAAATACTGTTTTAACAAAAAGAGAAGTCAATTAATATTTCTCTCCTACCGTCAAAGGCCAGTTAATTAATGTGACTTTTTCATGCAATCCAGTAACAAAGAGAACGACGATTATGATAACAAAAAGCCAAGAGACAACGATGGCACACATTCCAAAATCCAAGCTACCTTTATTTCCCCATCTATCGAAGGTACTAAGGCCATAGCGATTAACGTGTAAATCTGCCTTGTCCAAAAATGCACCAAGTGTACCTATGGCAATCACCAGTATAACCTAAAAAAATGAAGTGTTGCATTACAAATTATAAAATAAACACAATGAAGCGCGTGCAGTGATTGGTCTAGAGCCGTGTTTGCATTAGCCTGTGCAAAACACATCTGAGCTCAACCAATCAAATCAATCAAAACAATCAATCAGTTAAAGAGAATTTGCAAATCCATCATGAATACATTTTAGAGGAAAAATTAAAATGTTTGTCTTTTTCACATTATTGTTATTTTATAAAAGAAATAAAAGATGTTTTTTGGATTTGCACGGGCTTATGCAAACCTCGGAGACGTTTGTGAGAATTCTCGATCAGGTGCAACCCTCGACCTTCGGTCTCGGGCTTGCACTGATCTGCTCTCCAGTTCTCCCAAAGGTCTCCACGGTTTGCATAAGCCTGTGCAAACACAGTAAATATCTTTAATTTCTTAAATGAAAACACCTATTTTCCTATTCATGGATCGATTCACTGGATCTCCGAATCGAAGCTCTGGTACTTATTTCAAGTGCTCTTTCACATATAATTTATTTGTTATGATCTACTTCTAGTTTGGTGTTGCTCTAAACTTGGAATTAGGCCGTTAGACTTAGGGTTAGCTTGGGTTATTGTTAAGGTTGTATTCTTACTGATTCTTTCGTACTACTAGCTCGATGGCTTTAGGCGTATTGACACACAATACAGTCACAAGGTGTGATGTGGTCTACTATTCCATGTGCGTAATACCGAATTTGATTCTAAGCCAGATTCGAGATTGATTTAGAGCTGAAATCGGAGCTCAAACCCTTGGCTCGTTAATAAGTGTCTCATACAATATACGTTCACATACTATATATGTTAGGTTTTGTGATGTAGCCATCTACCTTCTTTAGTATATATTGACTTACACCAACAAATAGAGATATTACAGATAACTATTACGATCACATTTAATGTTCAACGTCAATGTCTATGTCTATGATCTATCGTACAATGATGAAACTACTTCTATTTATACAAGATATTACGTATGGATATATTTGTTTCTTTACTAAATATGGTTAATTTACAATCAACGGAAAGCTATTAGGAACTTTAAGAAATATTGTGATGATTGCACATAAGTATCTCTTAAAATAATCATTTAGTTAGTTACACTTGACTTAATTATTTACCAATTACAGGAAGAATATGAGAGCATATCTTAACAATAACATAGACACATTACAAACGATCAGGAAAAACGTTATACTCATCAAAACGTGTGTAACTATTTGAATTTAATAATTTACTTACAAATGCTGCTATCTTCAAGAAAAACAGTACTGATTTGACAAATTTCATGCCTTTCGGTATCGTTCCCATGTTTGACTATGATGCTAGAATGAGCAAAGTGAAATTAACATAAAAATGTTAAAAATGCGACACGTCAAAATTGTTGCTAGTCAAATTAAGGAATTCTGATTTGGTTCAAAAATATTCAAGCTTGTGTATTTCAATTTTATTTTGCATTATTCCAGATGCATTGTATAAAAAGTGTACTTTATAGTTATTCAAAAGTCCTCAGAGATCCGTTCATAGCATGATTTTTAAAACCAACAAAGAAACGAATGCATACTCGGTTGTGATAAACATTAAAAATGGCCACCAAGTGAAGCTCAACGTAGAATATTTACGCATTTATCGCTCTTGAAAAATTTCAGTTCGATTTCCATCCCCAAATACTAACACTTACCAATACTTTAAAGATGAGAATTCAAGTGGCCTTTAAAATTGAAAGTTGAAAGCTGTTCTTTGAGATTTAAATAGACTCCGCTGCGCACGCACATTTAAACTGTTCAAAAGGGGATCTCACTGTATAATTTTAAGCAAGCTTATGCATAATTGATAAAACACTTCCAAACAAAGGGTCCCTTCCCAGCTTATGAAATACATTAAGACCGATAGCTGTTGAAAAAAATAGTAATGCAACAACAAAATGACACACTCAAGCATTTTGATAAGTTTGTGTAATACAATTGTAGCAAAAAGAATGATAGCACAGCGCTATAACCAACAACTACAAACAATAACGACCTTATCAAAACTTACACTTCGACCTTATGTTGTTAGATAAGGTCGTTATTGTTTGTAGTTGTCGGTTATAGCGCTATGCTATCATTCTTTTTGTTTAATAACATTCCAACTATTTAACCTTACAATTGTAGCAATTATAGATGTTTATTTTTCCATTTTCCACACTGCACTATGGTGGCCCACCGCTATCATCACTATTTTCCGTATGTCAATATTATTTTCAGTTTTATTTTCATTTCAAAAACAAATTTCTCATGAAACTTTACTGCAACAAACTTGGTTTTCGAGTATTTAAGGCATTTCACGACTTTTACTAATCACAAATATCCGTAATGGATAAAACAGCTCCCTTTCCAAGTTCAGAGCAGTTATGATCTAGAATAAGTTTCAATGCTAGCAAAATGCGGTAAGTACCTTTATTTTATCATTCTTTATGCTCTAGAGATTGCTGTATGTTTGTTTTTTTTTTGCTGTGACTTTATGAGCGAGTGAGCTAGGTACTGTTGATGTAGGAAAAAAAAGAAAAATTCACAAAGCTTTTTTCCTTACTTTTTTGTTAGTTTTATTTTATAAAGATAATTTAATCACCACGCTTTGCATTTGGATATGGCCTTCATCAATGATTAAGAATGCTGTATAGTTGTTATTGACAAAAGTATATACCATATGTATGAATTGCAGTCTATGCAACTAATAATGCAGTTGCTAGCATTGAAACTTATTCATAACTGCTTCTGAACTTGGAAAGCGAGCTGTGAATTATCTTGCCTTGGCAACAATGGGGCCTATTCTTAGATGATTCTTAGAAAATCTTTCAATTTATTTAAATTGCACTTGATAACAT